AATACCTATTAAAACGAAAAAAAAATGAAAAGAAAAATATTCTAGAACAAAGATAATTCTTGAAATATTGGCGAGTAACAGTTGTATTACTGTAACTATATCATTTGGGTGTTTGAAAAGGATATTAGCATATTTAAACTTTGAAAAGAAAAGAGCAAATAAATAATATAAAAATGTAATACTTTTTTTATGAAATTTAAAGTTTAAAGGGGAGAATTTTCTTGAAATATTCGTGTTAACTTTTTATTTCATATCGACGTGTTTTGTTGGCTTTTCATCCCCCCTTGTGGATTCAAATAGTAAAGAAATGCCCTGTTTAGGCCCAAAACACTGTTTTTCGTTTGAGAAATGTTGTTGAAAAATGATCACTTGTTCGGTGCCGCCACCTGTCAAAAAAGACATATCAAAGAGGGGGGCAGAGGGGGGATGTGCTCCTTTCTGTTTGGGAGTTTGAATGGGGCAGTGGCCAAGGAAACTTTGGACTTTTCAGAGCTTCAAAATTGCGTCAGGCTGATCTTACGGTAACGTCTAATCAACGCTGAAACCTTTCACTCTATCTCACTCCATTGAGAAGTTGCAGCACTTTGTAATCAGTTTTGATGAGAGAAAAAAACAGTTTTGGCATACGTATACTTCTGGTGCCTTTTGGCATTTACAATGTAGTGCAATTATAGTAATTAAGTATTTTGTATGGAAATCAAAATACCATTTTGTTTACATTTTGCTTTTTTGCGACTGCTTCAAATGATAAACAGAATGCTGTTAAAAAATTATAAAAGTAATAAAAACTCATATTTCCCTTTCTAAAAATGAAAATAATTATTCTTTTCTGATGAATAAGTTGTCTTTAAAGAAAAAAAAATTTAATACATTGTGTTTTGATTCAACAGTACATTACATCTAAAATTAAATGTATTTTTTAGAAAATGGAGGTAACTGGGTACATTAAGTTATATTTTCAATAATATTTATTTACACTCAAAATTGTACCTACACAATAGTTCTATATTTTCAATATTGCAACGGTTCCTTGTACTAAATTTATAAATGAAAAAGATATATTCAGTTTTGTTAATGCATTGTTTATATCAAATTCTGCTGATGTGATATTCAACCAATACAGTTAATATCTACTGATAAAGTGCATTAATTATATCACAGCAAAATAACTCAGAAAGTGTAACAACTAAAATTCTGTTGAACCTTGTCTGACTCAATAACACAGCCTCTCGGACTTTTCACCACACATATATACTTTGGTACAGAAATTAAACACATAAATCTTAGCGCTTAAGTAAATTCTGGCATAAATGAGATAAAAAAGTACTATAAACTAGGATTTGCTGTAGGAAAATTTATTCTATAAATTAACTTCAAAATTGACCTTAAACTTATAAAAGTTTTAATAAATAAGATATTTAGAAATAACTGTAAATCTGATTTACATACTCATCTATTAATATGTTCTAAGATGAGCTGCTCGTAAGGCAAAGAGGCTCGACTATTATCAGTGCTTGACAGTACCAAAGGGTGCATAACTGTGGTAATTAAATGGTTATTAAGAGTAATGGCAGAAATTCAGCTTTACTTGAAAAGGAAGATTCAAGTGCCTTATTAATTCTTAGTTAACAATATTTCAGGCAAAAACAGGCATGTGAGTAGAACCACAGACCTTATATAAGCTAGCCGGAAAAAGACCTGACTTAAAAGAATTCATAGTCCTCCATAGAATTTAAACCTACAGCAGAGGAGGGGCAAGAATAAACTAGAAATGTGTTCAAAAGACACAGATTCCCCAACATTCCCATTAGCTGTCAGTCTACTGACTAACAATAGGACAGTATAACAGACAGCCAGAAAAAGGCACCTACCCCTAATTAAATGGTTGGGGCATTAAAATGAAATCCAATATTTTGGATGATGACATCTTGATTTTCCCAATACTGAGCTGCAAATATTTTAGATCTCAAGTTTATATCCTAAAGTATTCCTAACAGAAAATAAAACCAAGCAAATCACCTCATGCACAACTACCCATACCCATTCTGAAAATCATTCATGTAAAGTTTCATGACTCTCGGTCAAATTCTTTCTGTGCTACACACGACACAAGTTAAAAGTTGCATTTTTTTACTCTACAAATACTGAATAAACACGCAAGCAAATTTCCCTGGTGCACAACTATGCATGCAGACCAACATTCTTTTACTAAATAGAGAACAATATCTCTAATAGAACTGAATTAATCCACACGCAAAACCCTAGGTGCTAAATTATACATGCTAATAAATATTTCTGTTAAGTTGGTTGACTCTAGTTCCAGCATATTTAGAGGTATACGTGACAATATGATGGAACAGAAGCACGCACGGACAGACAGACAAGGGCAAATCTAAATTCCCCTTCTAAGAGTGAGGGCAAAAAGATGGAGTTCAAAGAATCATAGCACATTACACGGTGGTCCTTCTCCTTAATACTGTACTTCATCTTCGTGTTATATCAAACCTGAAATTATTACTTTTAAACAAAGAAAACTTCATGAATACACATAATAATTGATAAGTAAAATAGCTTAATTTTCATCATTGTTCTATCAAAAGATATTATCAAGTATTAGTCATAATCATCAACATCGTCATTATCATTTCATTTCTTATTTCACATCTACAATAATATTACAGTGGTTTTCATTATAAAATTAAAAGAAACAACATTAGCATCACCTGTCCTTATTTATATGAGAGTCATTTCACTATCATTATCATAAATTCGTCATAACTCATAATCATCATCACTATCATAATTATATATCGCATGTTGAATAACATTACCATGATTTATATGATAATCACCATCAAAATAATATATAAAAACATTATCACTTATTCAAGTATCACTATTTCTATAATATCAGTCTTTTTTTTTAACATCATCATCATCATTTTCTTATACAAAATAGAATAATAGATAATAATAATAAACCCCATTTCAATTATGTACTGTTATTATATTCAACATTATTATCATTTCTCATAATATCATTTCAACTATCTTTTTTATTAAATAAAAACCACTGTACTTTCATTTCGTGTTTATTATAATTATCATATAGCCATCATTATCATCATTCATCAATTCAGGATAATTTACCATTTTTCCATAATATTCATTTTTACTATAATTATTATAAAACAATATCACCACATTAAATATCATTTCAATGATCAATTATTCGTCATCGTAATCATCATCAGCAGCAGCAGCAGCATCAATTCATCATCAAGTCATCTACATTATCATTACCATTTCAATGACATTGATTTTAATATAATATAAAAATGTATTATCACATATAGTATCTTTTCAATGATTAATGTTAATCATCATCATCATTACCATATTAATCATCATCATCTTCATCATCATCGTTGTTGTCGTCGTCGTCGTCATCGTCGTCATCATCATCACCATCATCATCATCATCATCATTATCATCATTTATCTCATTTCCAATAATATAACAATGATTTATATGATAAACATTACCCTTTTTAATGATAAATATTATCATCATTTCTAATGACACCAATTAACTATTCCTATTTCTATCAGAGACATTTTCATATCATCATCATCCTAGTCATCATCACTTTTATAATCACCAATTCATCATAATCATCTTAAAGAAATCTACCATTATTTCTATGATTATCATTTCTGTATAATATGAAACATTCTTATCACATATAATATCATTTCAATGATCAATTATTCATCGTCATCAATAGCAACAGTAGCAGCAGCAGCATCATCGTCATCATTTATCTCATATTCAACAATACAACCATCATTTATAAGGTAATCATTTCTTTTATACTGATTTATTTAATTTTACCCATGAAATATGGTGCTATATCAATCAAATATATTTCATATTAATTTTGTAAAAAAACAAATATGAAATAAATAAATATGAATGTGGGCGAAGTCAAACCTCATATTTATTTTAAGGGACTTCTTTCGCCATTTTGTTTACAAATTCTGATAAATAATTAACAACTTTTGTTGAATTTTGATTTGAAAACTATATAGAATAATAGAAAATAGTCTAAGAAAATAAATCCGAACACCAATATCTTTAATTCAGTCATACAGACGTTTAAAGAGTTGTTTACGTGACGTCACAATGTAGCGCTAAATATCGCGTGCAAAACAAGACAATAATTATATTACTGCGCGCTGTACAATTGCAGTTGCGTAGCAATCAAGGGGGTTCGTAACCATTTTTCTTTGCTAATGAAATTAAATAAAAAAGGTTATTTTTTCGTTTTTTTTTGTTGTTTTTTTGTGTGGCATTTTATCATGTTTCGAGAAAATATGTTCCATATTTCACTCAAACGAAAAAATATCCTGATAATATTATTATCTACTTGCTTTAGTAGTCAAACTACAGTATCCGAAATTAAAGCAATATCATCAGCTAATATCAAAGTAAACATTTCAACAATTTCAATCAAACCTGTTATGTTGTTGTTATCTTGTGAAAGAAAAAAAGCAATTCATTAATAAACATTGCAAATGATATCAAACTTAGACTACGTGCAGCCCTTTTTGTTGAAGTTCAACAGAACACGTAAATACGTCATATATCCCATTATTTTATCTTATACATGCTTTTACTTATGGATTAAGTTTTTGTAAAGCCTCATATAAATGACATAATTTCTTTTAAAATGTAAAACAATAAGCATCGGTCTACTTAGTCAAAGCCTTTCTGTCTTTTTTTCAAGTTTAAATGTTTTTTAACAATATAATGTAGAACTAAGTAGAATGTAGAACCACAGTTATACCCTGTGGTGTTCCCATGCCCAGTTTAATTTTCTCTATTCCAATTAGAGTGCAAATGTAATAACTGAATAACTTGCACAACCTATTATGTCATAATGGTATGGCCGATTTATGTAAACGTTAACACTGAATGTTTTTTCCCCAATCTGATTGATTACGGTACGACCCTGGCTAATATTCGGATATGGTTATGTATTGTAATCATTTTAATGTTGCAAATCTAAGGTAAACACGGTTACTACGTCGCCGTTTAAACGGTAATCATTTTTTCTAACCATGGCATCCCAATACATTTGTGTGGATTAATAAGTTTATCATATTGTGTAAAAGGGCTAAAGATCCTACATATCAGTAAGTTGATATTTCATTATCTATGATATTAATGTTTTGTATATGATGCAATTTCATGAATTATTCGCTGAATCATAATATTGCTTTTGTATTGTAATAAATGTTAGCAGATCACTTAGCCCAGCAAATTGTGCGCTTTAGGGCTTTTATTATATAGACGATGGTCTTTTTTAATATCGGTTCAAGTTTAAAGGTTATTATGTACGTTTAAATGTGTTCTGAGCTTATATATTACTAATGGCCGTTGTCTATTAAACTTACGGAACAAGCAAACAATACTGAAAATTAAACATAAAAAAAATATAACAATAAAACTTTTCAGCAAAAGGCCATCTGAGAAAGTGTTAATGAAGGACTGGATGAAAGAAGAATTGTCATTGGTCATTTTAAAACTGCAACTTAATCTGTAGAAAACTTGCATTCATTAGTAAGATAATATAAAGGAATTTTCTGAAACGCATACACGTCTAAAAAAAGGTTTCATATACAATCTTTCAAGTTAAGGTTATCTGGTATTTGAGGTCTGATTATCTTGCTTCCTACCATAATATATCTTTCTCTGCCGTTAAACTTTGATTTTCTTTCAAATAGTTTATTCTAAATCGTATTTAATTATGAATTACATTACATATTATAATTGTTTTCAAAATAACGAGATCACCAATATTGGTCGTGAACCTGGAAATTCATGTGAATGACAATACCGACAACCTCCCCACCCTCGACTTTTTCAAAGTAGAAATACTTTTCTTGTACCCTACGTGAAATAGTTTGGTAAGATCTACCCTCAATATGTTATGTTAAGTGTCTCTCCCGTAGTTTTATTGATCGACAAAACGATATCAATTTTGTATACTGCTTGTTGAGGTAAATTTGACACTAAATCAGTATCAATAAATCTTATTGTTTTATTGTTAACAGTGTAAATTACACGGGTAACCAACCTAAACAAACTTCAGTCTGTCGACACAAAATAAACTACTTAGGTACTTCTATGAGGCTCTGAGTGGGGGTACCAAAAACGTGTTATTTTGCACCGCGACAGTTAATAACGTCGCCTCCTTACGGTGTAAGTCGGAAATTTCTGAAAATCAAGAAACAAACTTTTATATCGATATTTTATATACATGTATATTTTCATACCTTATACTAACATAACACCATACTTTCTAAAATACTTAACAAATGATGTCTCATATTCTTAACCATGTTAAACAAATACTATCAAAAGTATGCGACCCGCTTTTAATTACCGTAAAGTATGTAAAATATTATGCTATGAAATTAAATATACATAGCTGATAACAACAAGGTTCAAAATAATAAGTCACCTGTAAAATAAAGGAACAAACTTATGTTTAAAACGTTACATGAACAACTTTATTTATAAAGATTTAACGATTGTGAAACAGCAACCAGTGTAAAGATTAACATAAAACAATTGGTTCTTAAACACTTGAACAGTATAGGATATTCAATGTTAGATTTTATCCACAACCTTTTGATGATCAGTTTTAATATATATCTACAAAGATGTACACATAATTTGTATTTAAATTTGGCAATAGCAAGATATTACTTTATTCGTTGGTTTACAGCCAAAGCTAATATTCTTTGCAAAACGAACAACTACCTTCAGACGAACTCTTTATCTCCATTACTTAAACATTTAAAATGGCACTATGTCAAACACATGCCCTCATTACACCATTCTATGCCCTGTGCCTCGTAAACAACCCTTTCTTGCACAATGCATGGAACACACGTATAAATCGGGCTGGCAAGCCTGGTTTTTCGTCAGTTGTGACTCGCTTCTTCCGAACATTTTCTTTTGTTTTCTGTCTGTTCAGTCCATGCAATTTTCCTCACTCTCTCCTTTTTTCTCCTTAGTTTCTCTTTTACTTTATTTAACTTTTCTTCTGTCTTTCTGAATCCTATCATTTTTTCTTTCCTTTTGTCTCTCCTTTTACTCTTCTAATGCATTTTTTTCTCCTGAAGTGAATGAAATCATGCCGATTAATTTATATAATAGTTATTATACCCCCCAAAACGAAGTTTGGTGGGTAAATAGGAGTCACCCGGTGGTCAGTAGGTCGGTCGGTCGGTCCAGACGTCCGTTGCATTTTCCTTGTCCGGAGCATAACTTGAAGACTAATGGTTGGAATTCAATACAATTTCATACAATGGTCAAACACATTGAGAGGAGGTGCAGTGCAGAAGAACCATAACTCTATCTTCACTAATTATAGAGTTATTGCCCTTTGTTACTTTTCCTTGTCCGGACCATAACTTGAAAACTACTGGTTTGAATTCGAAACAACTTCATACAATGGTCAAGCACAATAAAGGGAAGTGCAGTGCATAAAAATCATAACTATTAATAAAGTACATTCAGAGTTCTTGCCCTTTGTTACTTTTCCATTGCTTTCTTTTGTCCGGACCATAACTTAAAGACTAATGGTTGGAATTCAATATAACTTCATACAATGGTCAAAAACATTGAGAGGAAGCGCAGAGCACAAGAACCTTAACTCCATCATGACTCATTATAGAGTTATTACCCTTTGTTACTTTTCCTTGTCCGGGGCATAACTTGAAAACTACTGGTTGAAATTCAAAACAACTTCATACAATGATCAAGCACAATTAGAGGAAGTGCAGATCACAAGAACCATAACTCTACCTAAAGTAATTACAGAGTTACTGTGCTTTGTTACTTTTCCTTGTCCGGAGCAAAACTTTAAGACTAATGGTTGGAATTCAATACAACTTAATACAATGATCAAGCACATTGAGAGGAAGGGCAGTGCTTAAGAACCATAACTCAATCTTGACTAATTACAGAGTTATTGCCCTTTGTTACTTTTTCTTGTCCGGAGCATAACTTGAAAACTACTAGTTGCAATTCAATACAACTTCATACAATGGTCAAACACATTGAGAGGAAGCGCAGAGCACAAGAACCTTAACTTCATCATGACTCATTATAGAGTTATTGCCCTTTGTTACTTTTCCTTGTCCGGGGCATAACTTGAATACTACTGGTTGGAATTCAAAACAACTTCATACAATGATCAAGCACAATTAGAGGAAGTGCAGAACACAAGAACCATAACTCTACCTAAAGAAATTACAGAGTTATTGTGCTTTGTTACTTTTCCTTGTCCGGAGCAAAACTTTAAGACTAATGGTTGGAATTCAATACAACTTAATACAATGATCAAGCACATTGAGAGAAAGTACAGTGCAAAAGAACCATAACTCAATCTTGACTAATTACAGAGTTATTGCCCTTTTTAACTTTTCCTTGTCCGGAGCATAACTTGAAAACTACTAGTTGCAATTCAATACAACTTCATACACTTATCAAGCACATTAAGAGGAAGTACAGTGCACAAGAAGCATAACTCTGTTGAGAGCAATTTTTGAGTAACTGCCCTTTGTTACTTTTCAATTGCTTTTGTCTTGTTCAGAGCATAACTTAAAAAGTATTATTTGGAATTCAATACAATTTCATATAATGGTCAAGTATATTGAGAGGAAGCGCAGTGCACAGAAACCATAACTCTTTCTTGACTCATTAAAGAGTTTTTGCCCTTTGTTACTTTTTAATGTCAAGTGCATAACTTGAAATTTAATGTTTGGAATTCAATGAAACTTCATACAATGGGCAAGGGCAGTGAGATGAAGTGCAGTGCAGAAGAAGCAAAACTCTATTTTGATTCATTACAGTTATTGCCCTTTGTTACTTTTTTTGTCCAGTGCATAACTTGAAAACTAGTAGTTGGAATTCAATACAACTTCATACAATGGTCAAGCGAAATGAGAGGAAGTGCAGTATACAATAACCATAACTCCATCTTCAGTATTTGTAGAGTTATTGTCGTTTTTTCCTTTTCCTTGTCTTGTGCATAAATTAAAACTTATGTTTAGAATTCAATGCAACTTCATACACTGGTCAAGCGCAATGAGAGGAAGTGCAGTGCTCAAGAAGAGTAAGTCTTTCTGGATTTATTACAGAGTATTTCAATAAAACATCATCAATGGTCAACCATATTGTTCGGAAATGCAACATTCAAAAACCACAACTACATTTAATTGCCCACAACCATAACTCTATTTCATTTCTTTAACAAGGTATTCTGTTACTTGTAACTTCCTAATTTCTGAAGCAGTCCTGCGAGGGTTGGGGGTATTAATCACCTTTAGTGATTGTTTTAGTTAATATTAAATTTAGATTAATGCCAAAGATATTTTATGCCCCTCGGGCCTATATTAATTGATCCATCTGTACGCGTGGCCGTCTGTCCGTACGAGGTTTGCCTCAAACGGCAAGTTGGATTTAAATAATTAATTTCTACCTGTACCATCATAATTCACACACTTATCAATACAAAATACATAATCTGGACAAGTTGCATAACAATTGCATCCATTTTTTTCAAGTCTTTGCCCTTTCAGCTCTTGAAATGAATACGGTTAAACTTACCTGGCAAGTTGGATTTATCTGAAGTTCTATCTATACTAATAGTTCCATAATTTCCACACATACGAACCAAAACAAAGTGCATGATATTGTCAAGTTATATAACTGTGCTATCCATTTTCCCAGGTTATTTCCCTTTTCATCACTTTGTAAATAGGGCCTTGTATGGTTATAGCCTATTCCAGCATTTGGATCTATCTTAAAGTTCTCGTAATTACTTTATTCACAGAATGATGTCCTCCATATTTGGAAAGTGGATACCTTTAATGGTCCTCTTATTTTTGTGGAGTAAGGGATCACTAAGGTCAAGGTCAAGGTCACTGGTGTAAAAAGAAATTTAATAATTTATTTTCTCATACAGGCTTTATTACTAAGTTGACGTCTTTCATCTTTAATATGGACATGCTAAAGGAGTTTCTC